GGGAAAAGGAGGCTGTGTATGTGGAATACTGGGAAGTGGGAGAGCAGGGGAGGGGAGGAAGTAGATGCTCAGACTAACAGAGGCATTCCCCCTGGAGCACTGAAGATCTCAATTGTGAGGATCAGCCAGCCCACAAAACTCCCATACTTCCCTTCCTGCAGACATGCCCAGGCCAAGCCACGTGCCTTCTGGATTACCCGCTAACACAGTTTACCCTCCTGTGCTTTCCTGCTCTTGGCCTATGAGCAAGCGCCAGTTTTCAGGGTTCTTTCAATCAACAGAGGTTACTCTGAATGGTCTTTGCTGAGAACAATTTAGTTATTAAATAAGATCAGTGTCCTCAGAAGTCCAAACTTCAGCCAAATTTCATCCTGGTCATTAAATTCACCATCAGAGAATAGATAAATGTTTAAGACAACACAGTTAACTTTCCAAGGCCCCCAAATCTAGTGGAACTAGCTATTGAGGGCTAAAAGAGGACTGAGTTTTTTAGATAGCCCCAGGCAAATCTCTCAGGCTGGGGATATTTAATGTTGCTTTTTTTTAACCAATATTTTTTGTTTTGTTTTGTTTAGTTTTTTTAAAGATGACTGGTAAGGGGATCTCAACCCTTGACTTGGTGTTGTCAGCACCATGNCCCTTGGGATTGGTTGTGGGTGTCGCGGTACATGGCTGAGGCCACCGACCCTACCCCCTTTCTGGCTTGGTAGCCTAGGGGACTTCCAGTTCTTCTAGCTGTTATGGGTGTTCTTTAGTGAAATGAGACTTTTACGAGTTAATACGAAACTGGTTGTGGGTACTGTTTTTTCTTTATTTCTGTGTTGAATTATTTGCTATTCCCACCACTTAAAACTCTCTGGGCTGGAACTAATTTGTCCTTTGCTTAATTCTAAAATGGGGGAACTTCTTGGTGAACTAGTACTGAGCTATGTGGTTGAGCTAAATTGCTGCTTTGCTGCTAATTCCCTGGGAAAGGCTTTTTGTGCATCTCAGGTTTTAATGGCTGACTTTATAGGTACCTTCCAGCTCTTGTAAGATCTGGTGCACCTGAGTTGTGAAGAAACTCTGGTTTGGGCCTGAGTCTTTTCATCAAGTTACACCCCATGCTATTCTATTTTCCTGACCAGTCTCCTCTGAGTGATCCTGCGCTGATTGGGGGGCAGATCAGCTGTCCTTGCTGTGCCCCAGTGTTCCCCTGCTGGGCCCATCTCCCCTACTGCCCATGCTGCAAACTTCCCATGGGACGGCCATGCACTGGTCCCTTGCAATGACTCACCAGCCTCTGAGTGGCTCCTTTTTTTCAGTTGTTCTGGCTCTTCATTCCTATGTGGGTCCCTGGGAACCCTATTAGTGGTCTTGCTGGCTTGAGGGCCACTATGGCCTTCTTCTCCCCTGCTGCCTCCATGCAACTTCATCCGAAGGGCACAGCTGCGGCTTTTGCCAGCTCCTTCTCTGTGCCCTCAGCAGTGCAGCCTGTGGACTTGGCCAGGGCTTGAAACGGCCAGAGCAGTTTTTTCTTTCTCTCATCGTGGCTTCTCCCACCTACGTGCACTCCGTAGGTCTCTCCTCCTCTTCCCTCGAGCTCTAGTGGCCCCAGCTTGGCTGTCGTTGCTTTTTAATAGTTGTAAATTGTTTGATTTGTGAGAGAGAGTGACACTGGGGACCGTCTATTCTGCCATCTTGACCGGAAGCCTCACTCTTTTTTGACATTTGAAGAAACACGGCCAAGTGGGGAAGGGACTTGTCCAAGGTCACACAGGGATTGAGGAGAAGCCAACAGAAATGGTGGAGCCAACAACTGCCAGAGCCAGCACCTAGCAGGCATGACTTTGTTTTGCTTTCACAAGAGCGCAAGAGGTAGTTATTTTTATCCTGTGATGATAACTGGGGAAACAAGCTCAGGCAAGTTAAGGGACTTTCACAAAGTCACACAGCTGGTAAGTTCCAGACCTGAAATCCCATAAAAGTGGCTTCTCTTGAACCAGTCTGCTGGAGGTGAGCGATGGACGCCCACCCTTGAGGCAGTCACTCTCTCCAGTTCTCTAGGGTTGCTACTTGGGTAGCTTGTCTGCTCATTCCCCATGTGCCCCAGCCCCAGTGAGTGGTATGGCTGGCATGCAGTAATCCCTGAGTGAAATCTGTGGGAGGGGGGTAGTCCAGGACTCTCCCTCTCCAAAGATCATTTTCTACTGCGTCCCCACTACCTGGTCTTCTATTTGGGGGTATTATGGGAACCTTTGCCAGTGTGTATCAGGTGGAGACCAGGAGGAACAAGGTGACAAGACTTGGTTGAAGAGAGAGGTAAAGAGGGGAAAAGGAGGCTGTGTATGTGGAATACTGGGAAGTGGGAGAGCAGGGGAGGGGAGGAAGTAGATGCTCAGACTAACAGAGGCATTCCCCCTGGAGCACTGAAGATCTCAATTGTGAGGATCAGCCAGCCCACAAAACTCCCATACTTCCCTTCCTGCAGACATGCCCAGGCCAAGCCACGTGCCTTCTGGATTACCCGCTAACACAGTTTACCCTCCTGTGCTTTCCTGCTCTTTGCCTATGAGCAAGCGCCAGTTTTCAGGGTTCTTTCAATCAACAGAGGTTACTCTGAATGGT